ATCATGTACTACAAGCCCCCCAGTGACCCTCATGTGCAGTGAGTCTCCCCGAACCCTGTCCCTGAAGCAGCCATCCTGTGGAGTGTGTATTTCATTATATTTGCTCACAAGTGTCTGTCTAATTGTCACAGCGCCACTGCCTTGAGATGCCACTTGCCTCTGAGCCTACATCATTTGTCAGAGTTTGATGTATGTTTTTTCGAAGGTAGTAAAAGTCATCCTCTGGAGGAGGTGCTAGAGCCTGGGAAGCTTCAACCTGAAAGTCTGTACTCAGGGACAGAACGCTTCCGGTAAGGTTGATACTTCAAAGTTCCTGGCGCAGGCGTTCACCCTGGAAGGGCCCTTGGAGATCAAAAAGTTCGGCATCCTCACTCCATACTCGAGGACACGTGGGCTTAGAGAGTTTATATGAATTCCAACCCTTTTCTCCATGGGAGGGAATGCCCCCTCTGAGCCTAGACCATCTGTCCTGGAGCCCAACGCCAGTCTCCGTGGGTGGCCAATGGCTTTCACGCCCTGCAGTTCTTCCTTGTGTACCTGGGTCTCATGGCCTTCCTGCCTGCCTCAGAGGAGGATATCTGGGACCTGTCAGGGGTGCACAGTTACCCACGTCCAGACTGAAGGGTGCACACAGGACCGAGAACAGATTTGGACACATCTGTCAACAAGCCTCAGATGTTCAGCACAAAGTTTCAAGAACAGCACAGTAAGCTCACTGAGCAAGGGATCCAGGAGTCTGAAATCCTCACATGTCACCCCGTGGGGGACCAGGAAACACTGTGTAGAGGAGTGACCCCAAGTGGATGGTCAGACCCAGCGCGGCTTCTGCCACAGGGGCTTCAGCTGAGTGTTTCTTGGTCTGGAGACCCCAGCAGAGCCTACCTGAGCTGGGGGCGGGGGGGCTCCAGTGCTGGGTGTTCTCTGATGGGGTGTTGGGTGTCAGAGGCCCAGGGCCAGAGTACCAGAGGCCCCAGTGGAAGGAACCAGTCCAGCAGTGTGGGCAGGGGGCCTGCAGAGGCTCAGTTAAGGCAGTGTGGAAAGGTCTGGGAAGTGGCCTCAGGAGCCTGAATGGACCACGCCATGTTGTGATTCAGTGGGTCGCTGTCTGAGACGCTGCGTTTCCAACAAGTTTAAGGACTTTATGGTGCTGCTGGCCTCGGAAGCACATCTCGGAAGAGTGAGACTTTAGGCTGCTTTCCCCTTTTTTTTTTTTATTCTACACCATGCTTCCAGCTTCTGATTTCTAGCCCTGGAGGGGTAGGCCACAGCCCCGTGTACCCCAAGCCCCACCCACTTCTCTCCAGGGTTCCCCAGCCCTCCACTCCTCTCCCAGTGACATTCACATCATCTTTGACTCAGGGTTTCATCTGTCCCCCGATCTCCATCTCCTCTCCAGATAACCCCTGTATTAAAATCACAGTGACCAGGCACGGCTGTCCTGGCTGGGGAATCACACATGTAAGACAGCAGGCACACACAGGTACGCAAGGCCAGGAAGGCCCACTGAAGATGGCACCCACCCTGGGGGAGACTTGGATGGGGTGGCAGGTGTCTGTTTGGAGGAACAGGGTTTCCAGGACGGCGGGTGCCAGAAAATGGTCCTGATGTCTGAGGAAGGACCACATGGTCTGATAGGGTGAGGTCCTGAGCCCACGCAGATATTTAGCTGGGGCTTTCAGATGAGTGGAAGAGACTTCAAAAAGTACTACAGAGCGTCCTTTCCTTCTCATCAGCCAACAGGTGGAAAAAAACGCTTGATTCCGAAAGAGAGGGTCTAGCTGTTGAGGAAGAGGGAGTGTATCCTGCAGGGCCCACCTGGTCTTGTGGGACAGACTGACAGAGGGGAGGTCTTGCCGTGATGTCCTGCCAGGGAGAACAGGCACTGTGGGGCTCCACAGCAGCCAGTGCATCGAGGAAAGACCAGGGCCCAGTGGGAAGCTAACACACATAGAAAGATGCTGCATGGACTAATGAGATTGGGGTTCACTTTGGGCTACGCAAAGATGAGCTTTAGGCCAAATAATCACTCTATGCAGGGGAATGATGGCAGTGGGGTGTGTGAGTACAACAAAGTATTTGGAAACTAGCTAGGCAGTGAAACTAATTGGCCAAAGAAAGGTATAGATGAAGAGGAGAGAAAAATATTCTGAACTCCCCAAGAGCAGTGTCCACAGAGTGACAAGTTCAAGCTTTGCAAGTCAATGCAAAGCATCCTGAGACAGGCGTGTGACGATGGCAGCCAAGCAGGTGCGGGACTGCAGATGTGTGAGCAATCACAAACTTTTGTCACAGACTTCAAGTGTACCTTTTGCATGTGGGAATCTACATGGTATACGAGAAAAGGTAAATGGGCAGATGGATAGCTGAGTGGATTCTCAGCAGGTCAGGAGGAGGACAGCAGGGGAGTCCTTAGTGTGACCCGCAGGAAGAGCCAGCAAAGAGGATGAACCGCAGGTGGGAGCTGCCTGGCTCAGGTTCCCTCAGAAGTGCTCTAAGTCCGGGGTTATGGGGCTGGCTGCTGAGGGGGCATTTTCATGTGCCCCATATCACTGTTCAATGACACACAGAGCAACCTCTCTTAGCCCAAAGCAAGATGGCCTCTGTACATTTGAGAGGACAGAGGAAACTCGCACTAGAGAAAAGCAGCGTGAAAGTCAAGAGATCCTCCTGCCTCTCTTCCCAAAGAGCTTTCCTGAGAGAACATTCCGGTGCCAGAGAAGCAGGAAGAATTTTTATTTTTATTTTTAACACTCATGTGTGTGTGTCTGTTTGCCACATGCCACCTGCTTCTCCCCAGGGCTCCCCAGTCCTCCCAGCATCATTTGCATCATCTTTGATTCAGGATTTGGTGTGTCCTCTTCTCTCCTCTCCTTCCCTAGTGAGCGGCTCACCAGTTCCCATCACCTCTCCAGCCATTCCAAGTCTTAGTCCTTCCTTTGCCCCTGGCAGCCCCTGTTTCTGTCCAGGCCCTGAGCTCCTGCAGAGTTTCCTAACTGGTCTCTTGGCCTCTAGGCACTCTCTGCTCTGCCCTAGGGCCCCTCAGACACCTCTCTTGGGGGCATTTTTCTCAAGCACTCTTTGGCCCAGGTCAAACAGGTCAAACAAACCTTCAGTGGTTCCCCATTGCCAACAGATTAGAAGTCCAAGCTCTTTAGCTTAGCTCTGAGGTTCTCTGAAGCCTGCTCCTGGCTCTTCTTGCCTCTTTCTTTACTGGTTTCTGGCACTGCCATTGCATTTCTGTCGAGCTAACTTCCTCAAGTCATCTTGAACTGCCACACCTCCCCCGACCCTCCAGTCCATGGACCTCTCCAGCCAAGCTCCATTTCAACTTCCCAGTTAGGTTCCACTTTTACATGGTGTCATTGCCTACCGGGTGCCAGGCTCCCTTGGGATTCAAGTCTAGGGAACTCAGATGCAGTCCCACCTGTCATGCTTTCTTTGGAGGCTTGTGACTGCGTGGCCATCACGGCCCCCTGGTTCCTGCCTTCTGGACATCTGTCTGCTCTGTTTACCCCATCATCTGCGTATAAGGTGCAGTCAAAACTCACTTGCATGAAATACTTAGGGGTCGTGTTTTGACACTGTGGAGAAGCGGGGGTGTTCTGGAGAAGACCAGCCTTGCATATGGCAAACAGACACATACACATGAGTGTTACAAAACAAAACATTCTTCCTGCTTCTCTGCCACCGGAATGTTCTCTCAGCCCCAGGTTGGCATCCGGCCTCCAACTTTTGCTGCCACGCTCTTTCTGCTCACACTGTTTTACCTCTCACTCAATGACTCCTCCCACCCCTTCCCCCAAGCCAGCCCTCTGCAGCTCCCTCCTCACCCAAAAAAATCAAAATCAAAATCCTTCTGCTTGTCTCATGCAGTTAGTTCACCCTCTCCTCTGAGCCTTGGAGTAGGCCACGTTAGTCCTGTGGGACCTCACCTTCTGCCGTGAGTGCTGGTCTAACTCTCCCACCCCCACCCAAGCAAATAGCATTCCCTCTCTAAGAAGGCACCAGCTATTCCGACATCCCCGTGTCCTCAGTTATGCCTGTTGCATGCCATCACTCCATTGCTCCCTGGTTCACATTTCCTGGCTGGTCCAGTTTCAGTGCAGGCCCAGACCAGACTGTTAATTGTCTTTGTGGCAAGCCTGGGGTCTTGCACTTGGGCAGTGGGGCAGTGACCACATCTGATAGTGACAATAATGGTAGTATGAGGACCCGCCACAAAGTCACTTTGGAAGGTTTTTTTGAGAGGAAGATGGAGTGAGCCAGTACTTTCAGAGTGCTCTGAAAGTGCCAGATGGCCCAGGTGCCTGAAAAGTCTCCTACAAAAGGATGATATAAAAGAAGAGGAAAATGAAGCACGATAAGGAGAGGGGCTCCCAGGATCCCTGAAGGAAAGGGCAGTCCATCCCTGCAGACGTAGTAGGGGGAGCCCTGGGGCTGCCTGCCCCAAGTTTCATTCATTCATTCATTCATTCATTCATTCATTCATTCATTCAAAAATGTGTCTGAGTCCTACTATGTGTCAGGAACTGTTCTAGAAACTGGGAACACACCAGTGGACAAAACAGACTTGATTTCTGCTTCCATGGGGGTTATGCTAAGCAAAAAAACAGCAATAAAGCAAATAAAAATCTTGTGGTTGTGCCAAGAGCTCTAAGGGATGATGGAGGGATTGCCCGGTGTAACCCACAAGCTCAGACAGTAGTCAGTCCTGAGCTGAATCTAATTCACAGGGATAGGAATGGATATGGGTGGGGCCCGGGAGGACAGGAGGGAGGCTCAGGAGAAATGGCTGAGAGGTGAGATGTGTCCCAAGTCCAACATGGGGAAACCTTCCTAACAAAGAGCCTGGAGCCAGTTCCCCAGGGCTAGATACCCTCTCTGGGACAGGACTCAATGATTGCTAAGAGATTCTTAAAGCTTTCTGCAAAGAAATGTGGGAAGAAAAGATGATCGGTTTTAATGGTTCTAATTTGTATTTTTTTGCTTATTTCACTTAGCAGGAAGAGGCTTCCAGCATGGAAAGAACTGATTTCATAGAGAACCTGCAGCTGGATCAAGTTCATCCCAGAAAGGCGGACAGCGTGGACTACTGAAGTTTGGGGAGGGATCAGGTTTGTTTCAGCCGCGCGAGTCAGACAATATTACAGCATCCTTGTGGGGGCAACTTCCATGGGTCTTTCTCGGGGAGTGACCTGCCACAGTTTCTAGTGGGGAAGGGCTTAGAGTGTGACTCTTTCTTCATAGGAATAATTTGAGGCCTGGGATGCTGCTATCATTTTTCCAGAGAGTTTTTTCTTCTTCTGACGGATGCTGCTGGCAGTACCAGCCTGGGACACTGTAATCCAAGTTTACAGCTTGAGCTTCCCTGGATCAACTTGGCAACACGAAGCTAAGCTCGAAGCCCATGAGGGTCGGTTTACTTTGGGCTCACCCTGATTCCGAGAGTATAGCCCTTCAGGGTTAGGGTAAAGGAGGTGAGAGGACCTATTTGGGTTCCCAACTTTGGTGGCGCTAGGCTGTGGCTTTTGTCTGTGAGCCATCAGATGGGCAGCACAGTTCATGAGCTCATTCATTTGGATCCACCAGTGGCCTCAAGGCAAAAGCAGCGCAGAGTGCTGGGTTCACTGTCCTGAGTTCTCTTCTCTTTGACTGACTCTGCCCCTTCATTCCTCACTATCTTGTTATTCTCATTATCTCTTTGACGTCTGTAGGAAGACAGTTTTTTTTTTTTTTTTTCTTGGAGAAATGTGGCTTTGTTTTGTTGCCCAGGCTCCTGTGCTCAAGCGATCCTCCTGCCTTAGCCTCCCAAATTGCTGGGATTACAGGTATGAGCCACAGTGCCTGGCCTTTATTTATTTATTTAAATGTCCCGCTCTACTTTCATAACTGTCCTCAGAGGATAGTTTCAATGGCCTTGAAGGGGAAATCTTGGCTACTTTTCTCCACCTTTGCTAACTTCAGAGGTGTGTACAGGCTGGCAAAGCCGAGTACAGCAGAGCCTTGGGGAGGGGAAAGGGCAGAGGGGAAGGTGGAGGAGGCTGGTGCATCTGGCCTACCCAGGAGAGCCTCCAGAACTGGCATCTACATTCATCTGCCATGGATTCCATCTCTCTTGAGGGGCTTGGCTGACAGGGACAGCTCAGAAAGAGAGAGGAAGAGTCACAGTGCCGGAGTGGCCTGCAGACCTCAGAGGATCAGAGAGGAGGGGTCAGGCATCAGGGAGGCCCCTCTGCAGAACATGCTGATGGCCTGTGGGGCAGAAGTCTTTCTTTTCTAATGATTACCTCGGCCTTAGACTTTTACCATTTTTGGATGCCAAGGAAAATCAGGCTTCTGAGCTTGCGAAGGCTGGGTGGAGTTCCTCGTGTTGCCTCTGGCCTTCATATGGCTTCCAGAAAGAAGCATCCCCTTTAACTTCATAATACCACAGGTCTTTCAGTTTGTAAGAAATCTATCTATTCACTTACTTATTTATTTCACAAATATTTACTGAACACCTGCTATGTGCCAAGTCCTATTCTGGGCACTGTGGACATACCAGCCTCCAAGACAGACAAGAGAAAGCCCAGCCCATCTAGATTTCACATTCTTAGGCATGTTTCCCTGCATGAGGATATGTTTAGAAATCTTTCACCTGCCTAAGTCATCAGGGTAAGGGTTTGCTCTCCTCGTGCCAGAGATTCCATAACTCCCTGCCAGGTTTACTTGATTTTGTACAAGGAAGATTTCCTCTGCAGGACTTGAATTTGTATTTGCCGATAGCCCAAGGTGCATGGAGTTTCTTTAGCTTCTATCACCAGCCTTCTGGGAGTGGGCAGATCTCTCTGCCACAGTTACACCTGCAGGGTGAGGCAGGTTGCATAGCAAAGCAGAACTCAGTGTTGGGGCCCACAAAGCTTTCATCAAGGGAAGAATGCGGGTGGAGGGCGACAGGTGGGTGTTCTAGATGGTCAGAGGGGGCCTGTGGCTTACTGCCTGGGTGTCCCAAAATGTCAGCTAAGGGAACTACAGGAGAAGTTCATTGAGCTGGAATGTTCGGACCTGAGACCAGGAAATGACTTTGCTGGGGTTTCGATGTCTCTCTAACTTCAGAGGAGTACAGAGATTGAAAAAACACTTGATCCAGTCACAGTATCTTCTGGATACATTCATTTGCATTCTCTGTTACACAAATTAAGAAATGGTATGTATACCATATTTGCATGATTACAATTTATTACTTCCCCGGGGAGCAGGGAGGGGCTGCCTCAGGTCTGGCGAAGCTCCTGTGCCCCAGCTTTAGAGGTAGATGGGTGAGGCAAGGGCGATTTCATGCCTTCCTTGAGGCAAGATGTCCTCTTCTAGACAAGGGGGAGGGCAGCTTGTGTGTCTTGAGGGCCATGCTTCTCCCTCTACCCCCATGAATAAAGCAGTTAGTGCGGGTCCCCCAGGTGTGGCCATATTTGAGGATATCTGAACAGGCATGCAGAGAGGCTATAGGTCAGGTTTGACAGTTTGCTGCATGCCAACACACACTTGGCTTGTGTTTTAAAATGTAAGCTCTGGAAACATCCTACAGGGCTCACGAGGACGCCTTAGCAGCTGACTGAAGGGAAGTGCCTGTCTCCAGCCCAGGTAGCATTTTGCAGGTCATGACTGGTGTTCGGCTGACAACAGTAGTTTTCTTTCTAAGACCCAGTTCCCCTCTGGAGGAAAAGCATCATCTCTTCTAGAACCCCTTTGTTTTTATCTTTCTGATACCCCATTAGCATCATGTTGCTATTCTCCAAGGAGCCTGGCAGGCAAGAACTGGTTTGGTTCCTGGATTTGATTGCTTTTGTGGAGTCCAATAAAGAGGACCATTGTTTCTAGGAGGTCACTGGAAACATGCACCTGACTGTCTGGTCAGCACAATGTTAGAGCCAGGGTGGGGCTGAAGGTGTCTTGAAGTCCTACTCTGAGCTCAGAAGACTTCTGTTAATGATTTCAGTCACAATCAAACCAGGTATGCCCAGAGCTGAGACACAGCTGAGCCAAGCAGGAAAAGAGGACAGTGTCCTACAATAAACTGTTGATATGGATCTGTCTCCCACGTGCTGGATTCATTAGGGCAAGGGTTGGGTTCCTCTTTAGTATTCACATCCAGTTCCTGTCGGTAGCTGATCTACTTAGGGAACTCTCAGTAGGTTTTGTGAATTAAATTGTATCCTCAGATACCACCTTAGAATTTCAAAATCTGTGTTCAAATTCAAATGGAGATACCCAGAGCAGAGGCCAACACCTCCAAAAGAGTTTGCAGGGAGTTTTCCAATGTGTTACCCTTCGTTTACACTTCCACCTCATTCTCTCTTTTCCTGGGTTATCAATACTCAGAATTCTAAGTAGCTGGGTATCTAGTCACTCCGTTGACTGATAGAAGAAAACTCAGTTCTTTGAGATTGTGTCAGGGTGGACCAAACTGTGGTAACAAATAGACCCCAAATATAATGGTTCAAACACTATAGATGGTTATTTCTTTCTCACATAATAGTCCAAGGCAGACATTCCAGATTGCTGGAGTAGGGGCAGGAGAGAAAGTTTGGCTGCCTGCGTTCCTTCAGGAGATAGGCTGACAGTGGCTTTGCCACATTCCAGTATTGACTGGCTCACAATGTTGCTCTCACCATTGTCATTATCAGTATAGCCCATGGGACCTGGGGAAGAACACAGAGGAGAACATCTGGGAGGTCTTAGGGCCACTTGGAAGCAGGGTGCACCTCTGCTGCTCACGTGGGAAAGAACATAGTCAGATGGCCACAGCCAACATCATGACTGGAAAATGGGGTAGTGGCTGGTCAACCACTTACCTTGGAAACGGAGGAAAATTTGAGTGGCAGCAGATGAGACTCAGGGTCTTGGATTTGGAAGAGATCTTAAGTGTGAACTCATCCAGTGGCCAGCCCTGGACAAGCACTGGCCTTCTGGCTGGATTGCTCCCTGCCCCCCTGATGTATCTCAGCTGACTTTCTGATCCAGGAATACTAAACAGCAATCAGTGGAAACAAAAGAAGGAAGGGTTTCTTCTTTCAGATACATTCTCTGCCACTTGACAAAAAATGGTGACCCAGAAGAGGGAGAAAATAAATCCAGAGAAGCTGCCTGCATGGGAAACTTACTCTGTGTCCCACGTAGTCTGAGATCATGCCTCCCAGAAGGGCTATGTCACTGATGATGTTATAGGATCCCTAGAAACTACAGTCACTGCTTGAATCATAATTGCTGCTTCCAGTTCACTGTGGTTGCATTTCTAGAAGGGTAACTATTTTTTGTCATTTTGGAGACAAGCCAGCATCAACCCACAGGTGACTTTAGAAGGCCTTTCTGCACCCTAATTGCCTACCTTCTGAATAGGGGCTTTCTTTTTGGCTCGATTGACCTAACTTCTTCTGTCCATCCCATTTATACACACCCTCCCCACACCCCATCAGAACTTTCTTAAGCAAACCCTCCAGTCCGGGCCTGCTGGTATCTGTTGATCATTTTTGGACTCTCGTGTTCCTGCCACTGCCCTCGAGCTCCTATTTCACCTCCTGGTGGAGACCACCCCAGTCATCTCACCCCCCTGTAGGTCACTTGTGGGCACTTATCCACTGCCTGGGTTATTGCATCTATTTGTCCTGCATTAATCATGTCTTCTCTGTGACATTCTATACTCCCTGAGCATTTGGGATTTGTCCTGTGTTCTGTGACTTTCTCAGGCTTCGGCGTGGTGCAGTGAACATTCTGTACACATTTCTGGACAATGGAAGTCTTATGAGAACCTGGGAGACTCTGCAGTGACTTGAGCCTGAGGTGTAGATGAATGTAATCATTGGATGATAGGGACTGATAAAACCCCTCTACCAGTGGCTAGGAGCAGAAGACGGGACTCAGCAGCAGGAGAAAAGAGGAAGGGCTCCCAGCTTCACTCAGTGTCAGCGAACCTCACAGTAGCTGGGTCACATCTGAACGGGCCACACCCTGGGGCCTTAGACTGTCTGGACAATGGCAGGGATGCTGCTAGAGGCTGATTGTATTCTTACCGGAAACACTCAGCTCAATGGATGGGACAACAGATTCCCAAGGAGATGGGGGAGCAAGGCCAAGCCAGGAAAGTGGGACTCGAGGAGGGCTTTGGGCCACCTCACCTACTTTCCCTGCCTTATCCCCCTCAGGGGCCTTGCAGACAATGCTTCTGGCCCAGTGAGAGTAAAGGGTGGGATAGGGAGAGGGCGTCATTCATTTCTTGTGTCCGAGGTGAATGGGTGTGAGATGAGCTCACTCTCTTCAAGCTGGAACTTAATGGGCTCCCAAGCTGCCTCCACACGCCAGCCATTCATGGAGTGGGTGCCAAGCTCATCTCTATTTGAAACTCAGAGTCTGTCTGGGAGCCCGGGATTTCTGAGCAATTGTTTTATGAGGTATAAAGTGTTTCTTCAGCAGGGAGGATGACGTGGTGCAAGGCGAAGGCTCAGAACAGTCCCTTCTGCTGTGCAAATTGACTTTGGACCTGGAGAGGAAACAGGAAAACAAGCCACATGCCTCGTGGCAGGTTCCCTGGGAAATTCCCTCCTCTCCTAATGTCTTTCCCACAGGCACCGCCGACCCCAGTGGACTATGAGATTTTGCCCCCTCAACCTGAGAACCACGGAGGTAATCAGGGTGAGTGCTGGAGAAGCACACATGATTCCGAAGAAGCACAAGTGAGGCTTTGGAGAGCTCTGTCTCCTGAATGGTCTGCTGAGACCATTCAACGTGTGCCTTTCTCATGGCCCAGGTTCTAGCAGCACCTTTTCTCGTGTGGGATCCCTCTTCCCTGGAAGCAGCTCTGCCAGAGCCCTGGGTGTTTACTGAGACGCACCACAGAGAAACAGGGAAGGAGGTCAGGTCCATTGTGACATGTCTGCGTTCTGGCCATTTCTCTCTAACACCTAAGAAGAGGCTGACAGAGTGCCCGAGGGCCCCAGGGACACCACCCATCTCCCAAGGGGGTGCTTTTTAGACTTCCACTGGCCAGTTAGCTGTGAGACGTGAAATAATTTAGTGGGCCTTGAACAATGTGGATTAAAAGGAGAATGGAAAATTTCAACATGACTGGCACATAGTAGGGTAAGCATTGTTTTGTGAAACTTACATTTCCTCTTTAGGTACACCGGTGGGTACAATGCATACCCACAAAAGATGTATTTCTTACTGGAGTCCTGGTTAAAAACACGTCTAAGTGATTCTACCAGAGCACTTCAGCTGATTCCAAGTAATCAGGGAGTGAGGGTGGAGCACAGAATGGCAGTGGGGAGGAAGGTCGCAGAAGAGCAGGCTGCGATTTTGTGTGTGCCTCCTGAGCTAAACATAGATAGTCTCCCAACGCCTTGAGGATCTAGGGCCTCTGGCTCAGCCTTTCGGGGCCGGGAAGACACCATGAGCCTTGTGCTTTGTTTCTTGCAGCAGGCCCTGCCGAAATTACCTGAGTCGGAAAAGCTGCCCTTTGGGAACTTGAACTAAAAGGACTTCAGCGGTTAGTTATAAAACTAAAGGATGTAACAAGTTCATCCTGTAATTTCCAAGATGAGCAGACTGGAAGAAGATAGCCCTGCTTGAAAGAAAGGAGAGAGGAGAGGTTGGCCGACCTGTCTCCTGATCCCCCTCCCTTTCCCAGGTCTCCTTCTCTCTCTTTCCCCTGTCCCTAGCAGGGAAGGAGATTAGAACAGGCAGCCTTTGGGGACTGTAGGACCCTCTTTCTGATAGGTCGGTCAACAGTGGCCCAGGAAGACCCTAGGGGGGCAGCAAATAGTGTCTCTGGGGGAGGGAAGAGTCCTCCACATGGGAGCTTTGGTCCCATGGCCTCACATGGTTTATGTCTCAGAGTGACAAGTGTCACCTGTTACAAGACAAAAGAGTAAAAAGCAAAGAAGAGTGGACAAAGGCAGATCCTCAAGGGAGGTGGGGTCTGCAGGATTCCCTGAGAGCCAAAAACGTGAAACCAGGGAGCCCAGTGGCACTGGTGGGTTTCTGAACACAGGCATTCCAGGGCTTTGTTATTTTTCTCCAATGGAAACAACTTTAGAATATCAACTGTCATAATTCACCCAAGCTACAAGCTCAAACATGGCTAAGAAACGTTGCTCAAGGTAATTTCCAAAAGTGTGTTCTTCCAACTTTTCAAGGTCAGGGGCGGGGGATTTGTGTTCTCTTCTCATTTTTGTTTGTGTGTTTGCTTGTGGAAGAGGCCTCTCCAGGCCCAGTGTTTACCAGAAGATGGGGAGAGTGGAATTATCTATCCCCAGCCACTCTCCTCTCAAGGAAAACTGACGGGGAGTGATGGGACCCTGCCCCACTTGTCCATGTGAGAGGGAGGCAGGTGTGCTTGTACCGGAGAGAGTTCTCAAGGGGTTAACACCCCAGGAATGCATCTATGCCAACTCTGCTTATCATGACCCCCCCCACCTTCAAAATATATCTTAGGGTCACCACACATGCCAGAAAGTGGCAACACGGGGCACCTCTCTATGTGCTGAGCATCCAGAGTCACGTTCTTGGAATGCCTGACTAGCGTGTAATTGAAGCAAATGGAATCTTTCCCAAATGTCTCCTTTTACAACTGGAAAAAGAGATGAAGAAGCAGAAGAAAAACAAAGCCAGAGAAATAGCCTTTTCTAGGGAAGTCTGACCTCCCTGTCTGGAAGGTGAGGATGTGTTTCTGCTGTCTCCAGCCCAGGGCTGTCTCTCCCACACAGCTGCCATCCCATTGAGTTAGGTTCAAGTGAACATGGCCATTGAGATCCAAAGGCTGGTTCAGGCCTGGGTGCTTTCTCTAGATGAACATTTTGATGTGGGAATTCAGAGGAAAGCTACGGGGACTGTCCACTGGCAATGCTAAAAACACCCTTCACTGGTCTTCACAGATAGTTTGGCACTGAAGACTGCTGTTCCGAACTGAAGCTCTCCGTGAGGACTTCCTATTATTTTTTCCCACAAACCCTCATTCTCACGGACGGTTCAGATCATGCCCTGTGCATACCCAGTTCCCTTTGGTAGGCACAGCTCTTCGTATCACATCACTGGCCCCTGTCCGCCCAGCCCAGCTGAGGGCCTCTTTCCCCCTCGAGTCCATCAGTCATTTCCATCTACACTGGACCCTTGCTACCTCTTGTTTTGGTTTATTTTCAAACTTGCTTTTAAAAATCTTGCTTAAAAAATTAATAATTAAAAAATTCATAATTTTTAAATTATGAAATAATTGATTCTTTTGCAGAGAATATGGAAAATACAGAAAGCATAAGGAGAAACATGAAAATCATTCATAACTGCACCCTTGGAGGAAGCTGGCCTCTACGTCTTGATGAATTTGCTGCCCTTCCTTTTTCTGTGTATCTATCTATTACCTGTGATAGTTTTTAAAACTGATGTCATGTTTTGATATATTTTTGTGTTTTGCTTTATCCATTTAAGATTATAACATGAAGGCCGGCGCGGTGGCTCAAGCCTGTAATCCCAGCACTTTGGGAGGCCGAGGCGGGTGCATCACGAGGTCAGGAGATCGAGATCATCCTGGTCAACATGGTGAAACCCCGTCTCTACTAAAAATTGCAAAAAATTAGCTGGGCATGGTGGCGCATGCCTGTAATCCCAGCTACTCAGGAGGCTGAGGCAGGAGAATTGCCTGAACCCAGGAGGTGGAGGTTGCGGTGAGCCGTTGCGCCATTGCACTCCAGCCTGGGTAACAAGAGCGAAACTCCGTCTCAAAAAAAAAAAAGATTATAACATGAGAACTTTCCCTGTGGGGGCTCTTCCGAAACCCGATATTTACTGACCACGCCAACATTCTGTTGAATGAGGGAGTGTCCTAATTCAGTTATTTATGGTTTGCAGAAGCGTTGTGCTCATTTACACTTTCCTTAGCAGCATATGAAGGTGCCTGAATTCCATCATCACAATGCAATGGAATTAGGGGGAAATGCCAGTGAAAGATGGAGAGAGATGGGGCTGAATGAGCAGGTGCCTCGGGCCAGCATCTCTGCAGACAAGAGAGGAAGGATCCTGTCGAAGGGTTTCCCACTGCTGCGTGATTCTAAAAGCTTTGGGCAGGGGATAGGGAGTCCCCAAACCATGCCTGGTGGCCATTCTGTGACAGGCAGGAATGGAATGCTATGAAGACGCTGGTCATTTTGAAGCATTGGCTGGGGGTCACCAAGGGGTGGGTAGCTGGAGCTGTCAGTCAACTCTGCTTCCCAGGGGCAGATTCTCTCAAAGGAGACCAGAGCTACACACCCCCTGGGCTCCCCCACGCCCACCCCACTCCACCTGATGAACAGGGAATACAACTGTGAACTGTGAAAATGGTCTCATTTGGCTGCTTTGCATTCTTCTGATTAGCCTGGATGTCAAACATTTCTCATGACTTTGGTTACATTCTTGTACTTCTAAGAGCTGTGTGCCTCGGTTCTCTGTTTGCCTGGGATTGTTTTCCTGACTGATGTTTCAAGAGGATTTGCGGCATTAAGGCTGTTAACTCTGTCAATTTTTTCCCACTATTTTAAACGAATTTATCCTTTCCCTTTATATTTTATGTAGGATGTTTGAATACGTTTTAAAATAACTTACTCTTCTGTTAAGATTGTAAGGCCGGTTGCCTCGCCGGGGGCCAAATGGACACACCCATTCCTCTCAGTACCTGAAGACTACGTTATCATTCTGAGCGCTTTACTCAGCACCTGGCCTCTCCACGCGGGCTCCCCACACCCATTTTCGCATGCCAATCTCAGTCCTGCACTCTCTAGGCACTCGGCCCCGCCGAAGTTTTTAAAAAAGCCGCTGAGACCTGCCCTATGGCAGCTTGCCCCTACGCCCTCAACCAGCCCACCTGCCAGTAGCCCAGCCTAGCTGCCAACGGCAGACACCTCGTCCGTGCCCAGTCCCTTCGTAACCAATGAGACTACCTCCGCTTTGTTTCCCCGCAGCCATCAACTACCTCTACTCGCTATAAACCCCCACGCCCTCAGAAGAGAAGCGCGACTTCTCTGGCCCCTTTCCCCGGGACCATGGAACCTCGCCCAGGAGCCGATTAAATTTATTTCAGTAACTGGCCTCAGTTGCCTCATTCGAACCCTTACAAAGATCGCTTTTTTTTTTTTTTTTTTTTTAAGACGGAGTTTCGCTCTTGTTACCCAGGCTGGAGTGCAATGGCGTGATCTCAGCTCACCGCAACCTCCGCCTCCTGGGTTCAGACAATTCTCCTGCCTCAGCCTCCTGAGTAGCTGGGATTACAGGCACGCGCCACCATGCCCAGCTATTTTTTTGTATTTTTAGTAGAGATGGGTTTTCACCATGTTGACCAGGATGGTCTCATCTCGATCTCGTGATTCACCCGTCTCGGCCTCCCAAAGTGCTGGGATTACAGGCAAAGATCACTTTTATTTACTTCATGTTCAGAAAATTCTTGCTCATCCAGGCTCTAGTTAAATACATGCCAGTGTGATATAGCTGGCCTAGAATTAGAACCAGTACAATGCCATTTTAAAATGGGAAAACTGTTTCCATTCTCCTCACAATAACTGCTAGCCATGGCTTCTGTAATCTACTAAGATTACCTTGCAAAATGCAAAGAGAGGACAAGCTGCATACTTTTATCTGTAACTGCCAGAATTGCTGGCCTTTGTTTACCAAAGTAAGCACCCCCAGATAATTCCATCCTGGCGCCAAGTAACCTAAAATTATGTGGACTCCACACCTGTCCAAATAATGTATAAACTAATGTTTACCTTGACCTCTGTAAACCACTTAAGTGGCAATCGGAATGACAAAAGTCCCCTGGCCCTTGGAAAATCTGGAGCCCCCTCACCCTCTTCTCAGCCTAGGAGGTGACTGACAGCTTTCATTCCCATCTCCGCTCCTCACCCCCACTCCCAAGGTGGTTTTGTGGGTATAAAAAGGTCTTGTCACTCTTCTTTCTCTGCCACGGGTTGGAGAGACGTGAGTGCTCCGTGGTCGCCGGCAATAAACCCTGCAATTTGGCATACTTTTGTTCCGGTGTTGACTTTCTGTGCTAAGTTCAATGCAATACCAGCATTTTATTCCAGATATTTTTGGATTCTTTTTTTACATTTAATACACGGGGTTTTATTTCAGTGTACAGTATTAGGGAGAGATCAAACTTCATTATTCCTTCCCCGCCTTTTAGCCACATTTTCCAACTTTACTTTCAGATAATCTAACCATTAACCATTTCTTCCTGGTGAATTCTTTCTCAGATTTAAGTTTTCAAAATATGTATGACAGATCTCAGGACTATCTGGTTCTGCTTCATTGGATGATCTACAGAATCTTGTATGAGCACCACACTGTTTTAATTACCGTATCAAGATCAATGCAGTTGGATATCTCTTAGGGACAGTATCTCCTTGATATTCTTTAAGCAATTCTTAACTTTTCTCATCATTCTTCTCTGCTTCCAGATGGGCTTTCATCAAATTAAAAAAAAAAGATTCGACTGGGATTTAATTCAGATTACATTTCACCTAAAAATTACAAGGATTAAAAACAAGGATTAATAGCATTGCTTCATTCAGTATTCCAACACAAGGGTATATCTGTCTATTAAGTATTCTCTTTTATCAATCTCTGTAAGAAATTCGCATTTTTGATATAGGTCTTGGATATTTCTTTAGTGCTTTTTGTATTTTTTTCCCAATACTTTGATGAATGCATTTTTCTCCCTATAGTTCTGCTTGTTAGAATAGAAAGAGTGTTTATTTGGGAGATTTTGGTATTTTTATCTTGTATCTGACCCCTTCCCTAACTTTTTATTAATACTAAGGGTTTTAGTCAATACTTTTATATTATCTCAGTGCATAATCATACTGTAGTCTGTAAGTAATGAACATCTTGTTTCCTTCTTTCTATTGTAGAATTTGAAAAGTTGTCAACGTGTAGTCCTGTTGCCTTTATTTTGTTTCCAAGTTATGGGTTGAATTTACTTTGAAATTTCAAAAAACTTTAAGAGATAGTATGTTATTTTTGTGCTAACCCCAATGAAGAATGGGTTTAAAAAGCATGAACAATGTCATCTTGCAGTGCCAAAGGACTAGGATGGCCTGTGTTTCAGAAGCATACTCCCACTTTTCTTGTTGGAGTGAGTATATCGTCCCGGGTGAATCCCAGGCATACAATTACTCCATGATGCGGTTCCTCCCTGGTGCTAATTTAGCAGGCAGTACAGCTCGAGTCGGCCTGAACTCTAGGAAATGTGGTCATAAGTAGGAAGAACATGGAATTGGGAAAGCACACAGATGAAGCCGGGGGCAACATTCCCCCCTAAACAAGCCAACCAACAAAAAGCAATGCCAAACAAGCCCCTTCGAAACTTTCCAGGTCCTCATCTTAGCACTTTCCATCATCTGCTCTAGGAGACATCTTTCAGCTGTTGATTTATGAATGCTGAGAGGCAGGTGCAGGAATTAATGGAGGTAAACATCTAACGTAAAAATACTTCAGTAGGCATTTTTAGGCAATCCTCCTTTAAAGAAAAGTGTGGATGCTCCGTACATGTATTGACCGTACCTGTAGGGGTATAGCTGGAGAACAGCCAGAGAGCATCTTCAGGAACCAAGTCACTCAGGGGCTTAGCTCTCAGTCCCTCACGACAGCTGCCATGATGCCTTCTGACCATTAAACACTTTAAACTCTTTTCTTTCATCCTCTGTTATTTGCCTTAGTCCCATAACAGACTCATTAGGTAAAAACAGGAAGCAAAGGCAATCCCAATGTTGAATTATAAGCTATGCAGAGCACAGACAGGAACATAATTCTTTGGGTTTGCTGCAGCGTAATTCTTGCCAGATCTCCAAGTTCCATTCAGCTCATCAAAAGCCTTAGTTTGAAGAACATTTTGGAGGACTCTTACATCAAGAGGTTCAAAAAGCATTGTTCAAAAGGCAAATGAACACACGTTTCAGAGGTGGGCATAAAAGCCTTCCTTTGCGCAGTGTGTTATATGTGGAAATCAGGAATGCATGTGATCTTTCTTATTGTTTAAAAAAACCCACAAAGATTGTACAAATACGTCAGTTTTTTCGGTGCAAAAACTCACACAATTAAAAAAATTATACTATGAAAGCAGCTTTGATCTATTCTTGAGTCATTTCTGTGACGTGTTAAATTTTAATCTACGTTTAAATTTTTTATTTGATTCTTCAAAACCAAACACAATATCTCATTTTAAACCATATCTGCTGACAGTGATTTTTCGTCTCGCCCGAATCATGCTGAAAACAGGTGTAGCCAGATGTCCTCTTAGCCTACAAACACATTTCAGAAAATCATTATAAGACGCTCAACTAACTTTGAGCAAAGTAGTTTCCTGCATCCTTCAAAGAAAGACCCGTTTTCAAAATGTCACCCCAGTACATGAAAGTGTTGACATGCTGTGTAGGGCTATTAATTATAGGGGCAGAATTCAAAGTAGCTGATTGGAAGTAGGGCCAGTTGTCTATCAAAGTATTTCTAATTTATGGCAACAAAATCATGTGATCTGCGTAGAATGGAACTCGGCTCTCCCTACTTCTCCGTGGTGGGGATCTCTACCATATCTGGGTCATCTGAAAGTGGTTCCAGACCACAAATATGAATGGATGTTAAACTGTGCTCCTCTTCACTCCCACTGGAAAATCTTTTTTTGTTTTTTGTTTTGAGACGGAGTCTCCCTCTGTTGCCCAGGCTGGAGTGCAGTGGCATGATCTTGGCTCACTGAAATATCTTCCTCCTGGATTCAAGTGATTCTCCTGCCTCAGCCTCCTGAGTAGCTGGGGTTACAGGTGGGTGCCACCCCACCTGGCTAATTTTTGTGTTTTTAGTAGAGATGGGGTTTCACCATATTGGTCAGGCTGGTCTTGCACTCCTGATCTTGTGATCTGCCTGCCTTGGCCTCCAAAAATGGTGGGATTACAGGTGTGAGCCACCGTGCCTGGCTGGAAATTTTTATCTGACAAGACAGTTTTGATGTCCTTTGCTTTGATTTTAGAGTATGGGCTTCCTTCATGCATCAGTACAGGGATCGGAACTGATCTTAGCACATTTCAAAGCATTTCTTGTTAATGGGAGTTAAAATGTAATACAAGCTACAGCCTCAAGTTATTCCTCAAAGATTTTGGCCGGGCGCGGTGGCTCAAGCCTGTAATCCCAGCACTTTGGGAGGCCGAGGCGGGTGGATCATGAGGTCAGGAGATTGAGACCATCTTGGTCAACATGGTGAAACCCCGCCTCTACTAAAAAATACAAAAAATTAGCTGGGCATGGTGGCGCGTGCCTGTAATCCCAGCTACTCAGGAGGCTGAGGCAGGAGAATTGCCTGAACCCAGGAGGCGGAGGTTGCGGTGAGCCGAGATCGCGCCATTGCACTCCAGCCTGGGTAACGAGAGCGAAACTCCATCTCAAAAAAAAAAAAAAAAAAAAGATTTCTCTCTGGGATAATAAACAGTAAGTCAATTGCCTCTGGACCACTTCACTTAAATCTTTGGTTCTTGTATACAACATTAGCTCAAGACAGCTATACTTGGAGGATGTAATCAAGAAAGAAATAGCATTTATTAAAACTTTAAAAAATGAGAATTAAAAAAGCATGACAATAGGTGCTTACTATAAAAATGTTAAGTATGAGAGTCTACATAGTAAAAAGTGAAAGCTGTAATTTACCTGCTCCCCATCTTTCCCTCTCCCCGGAGCAACTCTCCTCCCTGGGTCTGCAGGACAAGCTCTGGTCCTCCAGCAAGGATTTATTTGATCTGAGTTTTATTTATGGCAAGGAGATTTTTATAATGAACACTGTGATAAGACATGGTACCCTTTGACCAGGAATATTTTGCGGGGGCAGGGGTGGGGATTAGGACTCAAGTTCTTATGAAACAGTCACAAGCAGTTTAATTAGAAGGAATAACCACTTGCTTGGTAGCAAGAGAAGAAATCCTGCCCCTCAGTGTGTCCTGGAGTTTGCTGTTGAGGGTCTGTGACAAATCAACACGTGGCCACTATGGCTTGGCATATTTAACTTCCCAATCATCCTAATCAAGTATTGCAAACACTTAAAAAAGAGTGAGAAATGGAGCCAAATGTGATATAATCTATGATCTTGGCCCCAGAGTAGAAATGAGGGTTTTTTTTCTTCAAATTTATATCATGTACCACATTGAACATTATCAATACTACATATGAATACAATGGTTGAGGGCTTTTATGAATCTGTTTCTAGGAGAACAGCCCATGGGAAAGTACTGTCCTTTTCAGCTGCAAATGTGGAAGGCCCTATTGCCCATGCTATAAAAAAAAAAAATCTTAGAATTTTGGCTTAGGCCATGAACTCTTTAGTGGAACATACAGAGTAAATAAAAGATTGCTAAAGGGAGACCACAGGCCCCAAGCAGACAGAACAGACCAAACATACAGAAGGAATGTAAATATAGCTGACTTATTATTTTTGTGTTAAATTGAATCTAATTTCTTCCCTTGAAAAACCCACTTGAGCATACCTCTTGGTTACGCAGAAACAGAGTAAGCACTCATTATATTTTATGGATTTGAAGTGTTCCAGAACCTTCTGGGACTTGCCCTGAATCTCCTGAATGCAGAGCTAATTATAGGAGGAGGTGGGCCTATTTACATAGGACGTAGGGTCTTCTGGGAAACACTCCAATTCCTAGGTCCTAGTGTCCAATGTTCTAATGTCTTTCGGGATACATAAGAGTGGACCAGATTAAGGCACAAAATAACACCTTGAGAAAAGACTGGTGATCCAGGCTCACTGTACAAGGAAGGGTAAGTTGGAGGAAAAGGTGGGATTCTAGTACAAAACGTGGTAGAGGTGGAGGCATCCCTCTAACCCAGCGACACAGGCATACTGGATGTGCTTTGGAAATAAGTGACTGTGTGCATGTGTGCTGGAGAGAGAGCCATGTATTGAGTTTAATGCCATGGAAGTCAAAACACCATCTTCCTTTGAAGAAGCCTGCAGCCTGCACATGGCCACTCAAGGGAATTCTCATGGCTGGATGAGCAGAAATCTAGGGGACTGTGTAGGGTGAGTGTTCAACAGTGACACCATGTGGCAGAGAGAACCACCAGCAAGAGAGAAGCTGTTGGAATGCAGGTCTCTTTCCTGTGACGTTTGAAAGCATCAGCAGTCCTTGCAGGGGAGTACAATCAGCCAGAGAAGGGCAAACCGGAGCGGGCCTTGTATCAGATTCCTAGAAGTCAAACTTCCTGGTCCAATGAGGTACTTCTCAAGGGCCCTTGCTGGAGAGAGCGTGTTCAGCAAGAACTAAGGACAGCGTCCAGGTGGATGGGCTTAGTGCATCCTGAGTGGTGAGCTGACCAGGGCACAGGTAGGCTGCACAACAGATTCCACTGAGGGAAATCGGGGCAGATGCCCACTTAGATCCACCCCAGGGAGCACTGCATTTCTGTTCCAAATTAACCTTAGATTAGGTTGGACTAGTTCTAGTTGTGCAGCCACAGGCGAGGGTGCACAAGCTGTAAACTGGATCTGAACTCTCTGGAGGGATTTCTGAGCACCCTCTCTGCTTAGAGAGGAAGGCCTGGGAAGAAGACCCAAGGCAGCTTGGTAAAGGGGGAGATAGAATGTGATTAAAGTTTTCAGAGTCAGGGTCAAAGCCAGCTAGGCCTTTTCAAAAACAAGCCACAGAAATGTAGGGTGGAGAAGGGCCAAAAAGGGGGCAAAAAATCGAGGGACCCAAACTTCCTGCATTTGCAAGGTTGTCGGGTGTTCTTGTAATGTGGTTGCTGTTTTCCATTAGACTGGAGCCCACAGGTGTGGGACCTTGAGGTGGGCTTGGGGCACAGGAGTCCCCACTTACCATCCCAACCCTAAAGGCTGCTTTTAGATGGCATAAACCTGAACGTCATCTGCAGGAGAGCCTCATTATCTCACATTTTGGAAGGCAGCTGGGAAGAAACCATCATTCACCAACTAGCACAGCTGTTGGGCAATCGCATTCAGCTGGCAAATAGAGAACTAGAATTTTCAGGAGCCTCATTGTCTGGTTTCTTCTAGAGATTTGGAATATCTCAGATCACTCTGGGCGTTTTCCTCCCGATACTTATCGTAAGTAATGCCACTTTGGGTGATTATTTGATTAATGTCTGTCTCCTCCCTCTAGACTGTTAGTTTCCTGAGGACAGGGATCCTGTCTGTCTCCTCATCACCTTATCCTCATTGATGCACAAGAGACGGAAGTGCATGTAGATGTGTGTAAGATTTCTGGGAAGGAACCACCTGTCAGCCTGTTAGTTTGCAAGGTTGGCAGGGATACGACATCGCAGTCTGGGACCAGGCAGGATGAGGGGCTGGATCACCTCACAGCAGAGGGACAGAGATCCTGACCACAGCGACTGGTGACATGGTGTCTGGGGGCTGTGAGAGGCCATTATATTTCAGGTCATTGGGCTGCTCAGCGTGGCACGTGCTCTAAGTTCCAAGCCAGTCTGTGTGAAGAAGTCCTACGCTCGTCCCCCAGCTGACACACATCACACTCATTTTAGACTCCAGTATTTCTCTGCCTTCTTTGTCAAGATTGACTGGGGCAGCTGGATAGAAAGGAAGAAAGGTGGGGGTCTCCCAGGCTCCAGGAAGGTCACAGGGTGAGTGGGATGAGCAGTTGCCGTGGCTTAAAAAGGTCCCCCAAACAGGTAGGTCAGTGTTCAGTTGGAAGGGAAGAGGAGGAAGACAAAAAAAGGAGAAACGAACACTCTCTTAGGAGAGCCTGGAGTGCGCGCTGGCCCCAATGGGTGGACATTTCTGCCGCTTTCTCTCAGGTCTCCCCCATCCCCCTCATTCTCACGGTGCAGAGGGCCCCATCATCTCTACCCTGAGGAAAGTGCTGCTCAGACAGGGCGGCCCCTTTCATCTGGAGCTGGGATCCCACGTGCGCATTGCGAAATGGACAGGGTTGGCTAATCCCATGAACTCAGTTCCAGGAAGGAAGAAGAACTGTACATCAGCCAAATTTCTAAAAGTTTCATAAAATCGAAAGATTCCATTCACCTCCAAACCAAAAAAAAAATTTAAAAACCCTCAAACAACAGCAACAACAAAAACAGAGAGAGCTCCAAATCAAAATGTAAATGCAGACAGGGTGTAGACACTGTTGGGTTGATGGGGCAGGAACATCCTTACCTTCCTCGCCCCACGATGGATTCAAAACCCTTCATCCCGTGCTCCTGTGGAAGAGGGCAGGGGCTTGGGTCTGCTCCAGTCCTCCAGTAAGGACTACCTAATTTAGAGCCTCTTCTTCCCATGGAGCCGTGAGCGTCTGGGGGTGGGCGTGTTCACATTGCATCCCCTGGGCTGGTACTGGGTACCCACCAGAAGAATTCAATCCAAGCTTAGGGAATGAAAAGTGCTTGCAGAGTGGGAGGGCTCCTAGTGGCACCACCTATTCTCTCTTCAGGCAAACGTGACCACAGTTACCATATAATCATCGGGACATGGAGCTGGGCTTCTTCATGTGGCCTCCTCCTGGCCTTCTCGACATTTAAAAGACAGGACAAGTTAAGTTGGGGTGAAGAAGGAAATGCCGACAGGGCCCCAGAAAACACAGGATTGCTAGTGCTGGAGGGTCATGGATAGCACCCCCTGGAGTCCAAAGACCTCATTTTAGATCTGAGATCACTGTGGCCAGGGCAGGGGGTGGGTGAGGCGATGTGAGCTTTGTTAGGTTTTTTTCTAGTGCACGCCCACAGCTGATGTAGGCTGCAGTGGTGATCCCCGAGACTAGTTGGGCTCGGCCCAAGGTGGCTTCCACGGCTGTGGATACTTGCTCTGCCTGCCAGCCCCTGGTAGAGCAAAGGAGGATTTTATCCGTGAAGTCCTAGGCATGAAGGACTTAAGACCCAGTGTCAGCAGAGGGCTGCTCATCTTTGGAGGGCTGAGGGCTGCCTCGAGACCAAAGTATAGCAGGAAAGACACAGAAGGACTTACTGGGGAATTCTTCATTCTTCAAGGGCGTAAGCTGGGCTGCGGAGAGAACCCCCCGCCTGAGGTTGGGCAGACTTCCACTCTCAGATCATCGCCTGGATCAGCCCCCACCTGCTCCCACCCTTGCTGACTGCCACAAAGCCTGCTCTCCCACATAGGTGGTACCGGGGTCCAGAATGCTGGGAGAGAAGCCTCAGGTGCCCATTGAAGATACTACTCCAGAGGCAGAAGCAGAGGGCTTTGAGATGTTCCATCAGCACCAAAGAGGAAAGAAAAGCAAGAACCTCCTTCTGCCGTTCAGTGTGATTAGAAAGAACACCTCAGAGGAAAACCAGAGCACCGAGACGGGCTTCTCGATCTCTAAGCAAAAGCAGACTTGGTTTTGTGTATTTTGAGAAGCAGAAGTAGACAGAGGATCAGACCATGGGGAAAGAGGACTGGCCTCGTCCCTGAGCATAACACTCTTTTTTGCAGAGGTTCCTGTTGCTCTCAGCAACCTACTGATCCAGGAGGATGGCTTGAGGCAGCGGAAGTGAAGTTTCAGGGGCATCTGCTGATACTTAGAGAGAGAAAGAGAATTGGCCCTGCTGTTTCCCACAGACAGGTCAGCTCAGGGCCCAGCGGGCTCCAGCCAGCACCCCCGCCCTGTCCCCTGTGAGCTACCAGGCCCTGCTGCACCAGGTGTGGCCCCACCTCTGCCTGGGGCACCAGGCATGTGGGGCGGTTGCTTGTAAAGCTGCCAACTGAGAGAAATAGTAGTATTTTGCGGTGCAGAATGACGCCTGAGCTGCAGAAGCAAGTTCTGTGATGCCTGAAGAGAGGAGGAAGAGTTGAGAGGAGGAGAAAACAAGTTAAGAAGCAGCTTTATCCCTTGGGTGGGATTTCTGTGCTAGTTTTTTAAGGTTGAAATGTTTTCCTATAATCCCACTGCTCAGGGTTCCTGCAAAGGACCTCTTTGGACTGTGCTCTCAAATGATGTCTGAGGACCCCTCACCGTGTCATGGGGCCAGTTTTCCCAAACCAGAATCTCGGATGTCACCTTTGACCCCTGCACACTCAACACCTCCCACCGGCTCCTTCCCCAGCCCCTGCAGGGTGCCGCCCACCCACCGGTGCACTCCCACAGCCTTCAAATCAGCCAGCTGTGGGCGGCCAGGTACCGGGGCTTCTGCACAGCTTCCTGACTGGCCTCCCTGTTCCAGGCTCCAGCCTTCTTCTTTCTCTCCTCTCCCCACCGTGGAGCATCTAGGACTTCCCAGCTCACAGAACCCCCCACAGCTTCCTGCCCTAACTCTACAAGTCCACGAGTCCTAACCCTGTGACCTGAGGTGGAGGACCAGACCCCCATGGCCTCTGCTCCCTCCAGCTCTGTGCCCCTCTCTCTTCGGCAGACATCTTCCAATGCCATGTCTGAAGACTGCCTCAACTGTTTTCATTTATTTATTTATTTTTTATTGCATTTTAGGTTTTGGGGTACATGTGCAGAACATGCAAGATAGTTGCATAGGTACACACATGGCAGTGTGTTTTGCTTCCTTCCTCCCCTTCACCCACATTTGGCATTTCTCCCCAGGCTATCCCTCCCCAGCTCCGCCCCCACTGTCCCTCCCCTATTCTCCCCAATAGACCCCAGTGTGTAGTACTCCGTTTCCTGTGTCCCTGTGTTCATTTTTCATCACCTGCCTATGAGTGAGAACATGCGGTATTACATTTTCTGTTCTTGTGTCAGTTTGCTGAGAATGATGTTCTCCACATTCATCCATGTCCCTGCAAAGGACACGAACTCATCATTTCTGATTGCTGCATAATATAACTGTTTCTGAGTATTTCCTGTGCATCCCCATCTCCTTTGACTTGCTACTTACGGCGCTTCCCATTGGGAATCAGGTTTCACTCAAATTCCAACTTAACTTCCCCTCCACAGTTGGGGCATTTCCCCTGCAGAGGACCTGGCTGCAGGTCAGTGGGGAAGCAGGCAAGGCTGGAAATCATATCCCTTTTCCAACACAACAAATACGGAGGCTGAAGACTCTCCTACCTACTGGCTTTCTATACAGAGCTTACAAAGGGTTAGTTTCCTCTTGCTGCTTTGCATGGGTGCCTAGATTTGTGTGTTTTTCCAAAGACATTGTAAATTCCTTGAGGGCATGGATTAAGTTTTGGAGTCCTCTGAAGCCTCAGCTTTGCACAAAAGACCTCAAGACAGTGCTTGCTGCTGGCCTGTGCATTTAAGATTGTCCTATGACCCCCTTCAATTATACCTTCAACTGGAGGGCTTTGTACTCCACAAAACATCAGGTTTGGATGGAAAGAAACCAGGGCTGAGAGGAAGCAAGTGGGGAGAAGTGAGGAGAAGACAGTTGAGAGGTGGTGCCTTGTGTTCTTGATGGAGAAGGGAAACTTTTCCTACTTATCAACAGGGAAGAGCAACCCAGCCCTGGCCCCAGAGTGGCCTGAGTGGGAATCATGATCGCTGTGCAGCGTGTTGGCGGTGCCAAGCCAGGCTTCACGGACAAGTTCAGGGGACAGAGGACCTGGCTGCAGGTCAGTGGGGAAGCAGGCAGGGCTGGAAATCATGTCCCTGTCCCAACACAACAAATACCATCTGGTCTGTTTAAGCTGAGTATGGCTGAAGCCAACACAGAGCAGCTTTCATCATCCAGAGAGGGATGGAGCAAAGACGGTGCATGCAGGTAAGTGTGAACCTGCCTTCCGGCCCCATGTTCTCTCCTATTCTGCTCACCTCGGGGGGTGGTGAGGATGTGGGGAGGGCCAGAGGACGGCAGATTTCTTTGATTGAACTGAAAGACTCTCTACTCAAGTGATTTCCAGGGTCTCACCCTCCTCAAATGCCAGCTGAGGTGTCCCCAGACCCCAGCCGTTTGGGGGTGTGGGTGACAACCCACCATCCACTTGAATCTCAGGGCCAGGGATGGTCCCTGCTATGTAAAGCTTTTCTGAGTGGAGAGAAGAAGAGGGGGATCTGAAAGATGACAGGGTCCTCTGTCGGGCAGGGGGAAGGTGGGCAAAGGCTGGTGCCTAGCTCTGTGGAGGTTGCAGTGGCTGGCTGGCACCGTCCCCAGGGGCAGTGCCGGCCCCCCAGCAGCACTTGACCCTCACTTTCTCTCTCGTGGGCCATTTCCATGCCCATTCTCTTCTCAGCTTAGCTGCCATTCACTCCTTAAGCTTGTAAACCATGAGAAGAGAGAAGAGGAGGTTGGGGAGGATTGGGAATGAGATTCCAAGAGCACAGCCATGGAGAGAGATGTGGAATCAGCCCGGTGAGTGCCCAGCCTCATCTCCCTGAGGCTTTGCTGGGAGCAAAACCTCCCTACACCGCAGCCAGCCTGCTCTGCATCTTTGTAGGGGTCACAGTAGGTGGAGATGAGCCCCTCTGATCAGTTCCAATTTGGCACTTTCCGTAGTAGCCCTTGAGAATAAAATGCTGCGGCAGGGCAGGGCTCGGTAAAACATCGCTGATTTCATACAGCAGAGCTTTCCATCCCGTGGGCCGCACGCCATGAGTGGGTTGTGAAATCAACTTAGTGGTTTACTGCCGGCGTTGTGGAACAACAGATTACAAACAAAAACCTCGGGGTGTCACTTACAAAAAGGGTGAGTGTTTTTTCCCCACTAGATATACATTTACCCAGGCCTATGCCTATACCTGTATCTAAATATCTCTGTGGGGAGGTGATGCAAAGTTTGTGAAATGTATTTCTTGCTGTGGTTTTGCAGTCAAAAAGGGCCAACTAACATTAGTCTGGACGAACTCATTGCTCTAGGCCCAGCCGGCTCTGCAGGAGCCGGAAAGACCACGCCCATGTGGGGAAAAGTCAGAACTGAGGCTCTGGCCCTGTGTTGGCCTTATGGACCTGACAGCGCTTTTTGGCCCCGCCCAGAATTAGGTGCGAACCTTGCTGGGCCCTGGGTGGGAAGGGCTGTTGTGGGAAACCTCCTTTAGAGGCCCCTAAGCGTATTCTGGTTGTCTAACTGCGTGGCTCTTCACTGCTCCGGGGCCTCACGTGAGCTTCTCAGTTGTGCAAAGCCCTGCAGAACTTGGGAGAACTGGATAGCGCTGACATTGAATGGGAAAGCAGCAATTGGTCAGCAAATGTCAGCAGCTCTCCTGGGACGTGATGCTGTTTCAGGTCTGGACTGAGCACTTGCCCTTGCTAAAGCATGAAATCCAAGTGCCTGTGGAAGACTGGGAGGGGTCAGGCTTGGGGACCTGCTTGCTGAAGGATTGTTTGGGAAAGCACAGCAGTCCGGGGAGAGGCAAGCCCGGGTAGGTGCCTCAAAGCCGTCACCTCCGATAGCACAAGCTCTTTGCTTGTTAGGGAAAGAGAGAAGAGTGCCAGGCTTTTATCATTCATCGCCAGAACGCTCCACCAATCACTGAGGATTGGACAACAGCATCCAGAATGCTGAGAGAGGAGACAGAATATGAATGTGTACACACAGGATGCTCCGGGTGCTGCTGGGTGGAGGCGGCGTTGGCCACCAGGGTGCGCTGCTGGGGCCATTCCTGAGTTGGGGTGGTAGGGGTGCTACACAGGGAGATGGCATTTATTTATTTATTGCTAAGAAGTTACAGAGTATCTAGCACACTGCCTTGACTATACTACATGCTTAAGTTAGAGGGGTGATTTTCCTGAAGAGTTCAGAATGATCTGCGCTTGTTAATCAGTGTGGAATCCAGGGACAGTGCGTTCAAAGGTCTGTTCCTGCGGTGTGGGCAGCATGCAGAAAGAACTGAAACTGGGATTTTCCTGTTAAAGGAAAGCGCCAGCTTTTAAAGCATTCATTATTCTTTGCTTCTTTCGAAATCTCTTTCACTTCCCCACTGATGGTCAGCCCTCCCCCTTCCCCTCCCCCATCCCATCCCCTCATCCTCCTCCCTCTCCCTTCCCTCCCCCATCCCCTGTCCCCTCATCCTCCTCTCTCTCCCTCCCAGAGCTACCTGCACCTCTCTGGCCTTCAATACACCACAAAGAGGGGAGGAAAATTAACTGGGCAAAGAAAAGTTATGGATTCTGACGAGGCTACTTCTCAGACCTGGGACTTCTCTGCTTTGAATTTCAGCTCACATGTTGCCATTTGGGAAGAACAAGAAATGGTCCCAATTCAGGGATTCACTCCTGAGCTCATATGCGAGAGCAAAGACCATCTGTTCCCTGTTCTTGTCATTGCCGTAATCTCTTAGCACACCCTTAGCAGCAGTGACTGCCCAGTAGCGACCATTTCCAAGCAGTTGAGGGCATGGGCTAGGAGGGTATCGCCAACGACTGTTTCTGCATGCACCTGCTGAACACTCGTTTATTGGCTGGCACTGTGCCTGGGTGACGGGCTCTAGGAAGACTTGAGACTAGAAACTTTGGCCTCTACGAGGCTCTAATCTTGTCAGGGGAAATATGGAAACAGAGACACGGAATACAGCACAGGGATGGCTAGGGTGAGATTGAGTGAAACTATCTAAATGGGTCTTCACTGCTATTCATTGCCACCAGATGGGCTGCATATTGCAGCTTCAACTTCTGTGTTAATGGGGAAGAAACAGAATCCCTTGGAAGCTCCTTTCCATCATTCAATTTTCACATGTGGACTTGAGTCACATTATTCTTCACGAACAACTTCTGAGAAGGCTGGTTAGTACATAGCTGGAGAAAAAAAACAACTCAGTTACCCATTGGTTCTTTTAAACAAATTGTACTCTATGAAAATTGGAGACAAACATGTCTGCCATCTCTCACTTCGGCGGTAGGAAGTAAGGGCTGACCTACTCAACAAGGGTTCCTAACCCACAGTTTGTGGTTCTCAGATTTGGCACTCATGTGCCCAGGACACTGCTGGGAACTCACAGGACTGCCTAAGTGTTTGAATTCCCTAAACACAGAACTAAAAGTGTTCAAAGTGGCGGCAGTGACATCTTCAGATCCCATGTGTTGAGTTGTTTGGCCCTAACTATGTATTAACAGAACTACTGGATATTTCTTTTAGCTTAGGGGCTTTTCAAAGCATCACTGAGATCCTGAATGGGGAATGTGTGGCAGGCTTTCTGGGGCCCAGTGCACCATCACCACGTCCACCACTGGATGGCCACGCGGAAGCAAACCTGGGCACAGACAGACCTCTCTTTTACACACCTACGCCTTGGTCTCGTCAGTGGTCAGCTCCTTTGAACTTGGCAGTTGCTGATTTGTTTCTTTACAGAAGGCGCAAGTTCATCATGAATTTGACCTTGATTCACAGTGCCCACCATTCAGCACCAGAGGCCACCAGAACTCCTGCCCTTGCGGTAAGAGGTGGTTAGCTCAAAGGCTGTGAGTTTTCAACACAGGGCAGGCTTCCAAACTGACACCCAGGCTGGCAGGATTGGCCTCTAGAGCCATTAGTGGGCGGCCTCGATTTCTCCTTGATGACTTGGTCCCCTTCTTCCTGGTAGGCCTCCCGCCCAGAATCTCTGCTTATCTTCCCCGCTCAGCTATCCCCCACGGGTCCTGATAGGGCCGAGGCTGCCTCTGCACCCTCCCCGGTCTGTGTGCTCTTCTGCCTGGGGCTTCACTGCTTGACCGTTGCTCTCAACTGCCATTAGAATGTTCAGTCCTAAAGATTCTCGGCAGTTGGTGCCTGGGTCCTGCAGCCAGGTAGACTAAGAGGCTGCAAGGCTGTTGGGGTTCAGGTCTTTCTGAGGGGACCCAGCAGCTGGTATATGAGAAATGCACAATGAATATGTGATGAATCAACCTTATAGCTTAACTCCCAGTGAGAGCTTCAGGGCAGCCACAGCTGTGCGTGAGAGTCCTTGGTCCCCGCCTTCTCATTTCCCGGGGCTCTCTCTGCCTTAGCTGAAAAAAAACTGATGGGAGACCCCAGGCAGGCCCAGCAGAGGGAGTCTGTGGTCAGGGGGACACCAGCCCTCCTGCCAGCCCTTTTCCCGCTGCTCTTGCTCATTCTTGGCCATGGCTCTCGTCCTTCCAGGCAGGTGGCTGAGTGCGTGCAGCCTACACAGACAGGGCAGGGCTGTGTAGGGATTTAGGTGCTGGATTTAATCAATGTTTTTACCTTTGCCTGGCAACAGGGAAAGGAGACTGATGTCTCCAAGGCTGAGGGGCACACCTCGCCCTCTCACTCTGGGGGTCTGGTCTCTGGCACCCCTGGCTCTGCCTCACAGGGGATGGTGGGGGGATGGGGAGGGGAGCTGGAGGAAAGCCTGCCCCCACCTTTGACACCCCTAGGCCCTTCAGTCTTGCTGCCTCTCCTGTATCAGCTCTTGAAGGCATTTTAGCAGTAGAAAAAAGCCCTGGTTTTTTAGCTTGCAGAAGAATACGCTGGTCAGGCAGGACCTCACTGGAGATGAGCCTATGGTCTAAGGCCTTTTTTTTTTTTTTTTCTTTTTTGAGACGGAGTTTCACTCCTGTTGCCCAGGCTGGGGTGCAATGGCGCGATCTCAGCTCACCGCAACCTCCGTCTCCTGGGTTCAGGCAATTCTCCTGCCTCAGCCTCCTGAGTAGCTGGGATTACAGGCATGCGCCACCATGCCCAGCTAATTTTTTGTACTTTTAGTAGAGACGGGGTTTCACCATGTTGACCAGGTTGGTCTCAATCTCTTGACCTCATGATCCACCTGCCTCGGCCTCCCAAAGTGCTGGGATTACAGGCGTGAGCCACCGCGCTCGTTTTCTAAGAATTTAAAAGAACATTTGTTGCTCCTCTTCTCCCTCAAAATACGGCATGTTCCTTGTAGCAAAGGTAGAAAAATACGTGTAAGAAGAAGAAAAAAAACTGCCGTAACTCCCTCCATTAGAAACATATCCTGTTGAACCTGGAATTTCCTTCCAGACTTCTGGCTTTGTGTTTTAGTAGAAATGGTCTAACTCATTACTTGCAACATATGTTTCACTTAACAGTTCATGAATATGTTTCTCTTGTGTATGCTACTCTTCTTCCAAAACAGCCTTTCAACTTTTATTGACCTATCTGGGATCTCCTGTCTGGGATGCAAATGGTTCAAAATCTGACAGGTGCAAAGGTGCATTCAGGGGAAGGTTGCCCCTTTTGTTTTCTGCCCGGGAGCCCACTCAGTTCCGCCCCCTGGAGGCAACGGATGCTCCTTCACAAGCAGCAAATTTAGTAGTTGGATCATATTCTATTGCACAAATGTCTCAATATTTATTTACTTTTTGAGACACAGTATACCTTTCCATCTTGAATATTTGGATGTTAATGTTTTATTTTGCTGTTATACATAAGGCTATGATGAATGGCCTTCTAGCCAGGTCTTTGCACACATACTTCCTTTTGTTAGAATACATTTTTAGAAGCAAAATTTCTGGGTCAGAAGGTAGGACAAATTAAAAAAAATCCAATCTCAGGTTTTTACCTCCAAAATATCTGTATTGATTGGCATTCCCCCAGCAATGCACGAGAATGTCTGTATCCCCGCCTGTGTTATTAAAACTCACTTCCTCAAATGGTGTCAACTTAGTGGGTAGAGGTGCATGGGAGGCCCCTGACGCTCACTGTGAACTGCACTTTTAAAGGGTGCAAGTAGCACCTTGGGGAAAAATAGGAGACTAGGTGATGGCTCCAGGGACAGCAGCTCTGAGTCCCTGGGGAGGGCTGACCTGTGAGAGGAGCAGAGGAGGAGACAATCTAGTGTGGCTTGAGGTGGTGGCATCGCCAGTGGGTGCCAAGCCCAGGGACAGGATTCTTCACTTTTCAGAAACCCCCAGGTAGAAGCGGGAGGACCCCAGGCCATGAGAAGCATGAAGGCCACAAAATAATCACAGCCTGAGGTCCAGGGACAATTGGTATGCAGGCAGAATTTTTGTTTTTCCCCCGAAAGAGACTGTGGTGTTATTTTTCTGGCAACTTAATGGTGTACTAAAAGGGGTCCTTGGAATAGGGTTGGGGGTGCTGGTGGTGAACACTCTTGGGTGATGGAAATGCCTCTCTCTCTAGAGTGTGCCCCAAGAACAGGCTTGGGGTACAGCCGGTGTCCTTGTGTCCTCTGGTGCTGGGCTCTGTCATTGCTGCTTGGGGAAGGGAGAATAAAGACTGTTTTCATGTACCCAGCTGAGAGTGGGGCAAGGGACAGCAAGGGCTCCCTTATTCATCAACCCCCAGATCTCAGAAAGTTTGCACTGAAGGGTGAACCCGGACGTTGAGAAGAGCCAGATATTCCCTCGACATTCACCTCCCCTTCAGGTTTCTCTGGACAATCCCTGCTTTGACCACGTCTGCCTCAAGGGGCAACTCCTTCACTTTGGCTTTTTCTGTACTACTGCAGACACTGGGGGAGTCTCTAGACGACTTCGTTTCTTCCTTAAAGAATGTAGGACAAAAAGGAGACATAAACGAGATAATTTGACTTCCAAGATGCAGTCACGTGTCTTTGGGTGAGGGTTGACAGTCTCCCTGGATTGTTTCCAGTCTGACTCTCAAGGTCAGGAATCCAAACCCCTCAGGAGCACCTTCAAGGAACATGAGCTTCCTTGACCTTCACTTTAGAGAGCGGGCCCCAGAGTGAAACGGGCAGTTCCGGTCCACCCTCTGTGAATTTGGAGTCATACGTTGTTCCTACAGCTTGCTTGTCCCCCAGCTATTATTTCCTTTGATATGTGGTTTTTTCCAAGGCCTAGTTTTGGGCCTAGGTGACCTTTCCCCAGCCTGCAATCCAGCTGAAGTCTTCATTATGCTCTGCGTTGGTTCCCTAGGGCTGCTGTGAAAGATGACCGACCACAAACGTGTGGTTCAAAACAACAAAAATGGATTCTCTCATGGTTCTGGAGAGGCTGTAAGTTTGAAACCAAGGTGCCAGCAGAGTTGGTTCCTGCTGGAGCCTATGAAGGAGGTTTCCAGGGCTGCCAGCAATCCCTGCTGCTCCTTGCTTTTAGACACGCAGCTCCAATCTCCGCCTCCAGCATCACACAGCCTTCTTTTCTCGTTTGCATGTCTTCTCCTCTTAGGAAGATACCAGCCATCGGATTCAGAGCCTACCCCGATCCCGTATGACCGCGTCTTAAATGGGAGCATCAGCAAAGACTCCATTTCCAAATAAGGTTACATTCTCAGGTGCTGGCTGGACATGAACGATTTCAGGGCTACCATTTAGCCCACTGTTGCAATGCCCCTGCCTGCAGACTCCTCCATCCACCCATCCATGCCATGCACTCTACTCTGTTGGAGCCATTTTTCTTAGACCGTAGGCAGCCGTAGCGCCCCAGCCCTGCTCTCGAGCCCTTCAATGACGCCTGACGGCCAACAGAATAAAGTCTTGTGCCTTTGGTTCAACTTTCCAGACTGAACCCTCGTCCGGCTCCAGCGATCTCTTCTACATCCTGTTTCTCTGTTTCTTCTGCACCCTCCCTGCCATCCCATGGGAAAGGTCTTCTTCTACGTTAACACGCTGCGAATGCTCTTGTCTCCTGCCTCCTCTGTCTGTTTCTGAGATGCTCTTTTTCTCCAGTGCCCATGTCATATATCTTTCCTTGTTAATGAGAATGTTTGCAGCCAGACCACGTCAAAGGCCCCACCTCTCTCCGCAGACCAACCCTGGCCCACATGGTGCCCTCGTCCTCTGTCTGGAGTAATGCTGTCCTCTGCTGGTGTCATGTCCATTTTCCATTGACATGTTACCCAGGGACCAACCCGTGTGCTACACTTCTTTGGGTCCTTGGTTTTGACACGGGTGTTTGGAACATGTGGCTTCCTGGTCAATGATTTTGTATGCTGCTGCTGGTGTGAGCACGCCGAATTGCTCCATGCCTGCAGCTCCATGATGCCTAAAGCTGGTGGAGAGCCCTGTGCTGAGTTGAAATGGGAGGAAAGGAGAAAATTGTTGGTGCTTTGAGAGTCAAGGGTGGTGGTCTTTCAAAGGAAGAGGGGACTGGCAGAATCACTGCAGAAGGAAATTCTCGAGGCTGGATGCCAAGAGGTGCCGTAGAAAAGGTTGTCAAGATACATGTGGTGGGGAACCACTGCTCCCATCCTCCTTGGGAGACAATTGGTGAACGACATAGTTGGCAAAGCATAAGGACTGGGAGGGAAGCGAAAGAGGAGACAGAGTACAGTGAACACAATAGATGTCAATGGCCTCCACTATCAGGTTTAACAGATGATTTGAAACTTTAAAGTAACAAGGAAGTTTTTATTCCTGTAATTGTTAGTAGCGTCTTTTGCAGCTCCTCCTACATGGCAGTGACTGGCCATTGGCAGCTGGGTCTGCAAGCTCTCTTCTAAAATGTCGCATCTCTGTGGGGACACATGAGGAGCTTAGTTCTTCCATCTGGAAGCAGGTTTCCTCTAAACCTTACTCTGTCCTTTTGATCTATGTCTCAGCTGCATCACAATCTCGTCGATATTGCCCTTTGGGATCAAAAGGTGTCCACCAAGAAGAAAGAGCAGAGTTTTAGAGAACTGGGGTGAGAATTCTGGGCAGCTGGAAGCCACCAGGGCCTTTTTCTTTTTCTCTTTTTCTTTTCTTTCTTTCTTTCTTTTTTTTTTTGCTGGGTCTTGGCAGTACTCCTTTATATAGTAGGGTCAGAAACTCAGGCTAGAGAAAGTATCCGGAAAAGATTGTCTGCCTTTGCGACAGTTTGTGGATAACTCATAATTGTAGTTCTGATCTTGTCAATCCGTCTTACAACTCTAAATGTGTGCTCTTACCTGGCTACATAAATACCCATCTCCTTATAGAAGCAGGCAATCTTCAATACATTAAAAAATAATAGTTTTGTGGACATTCCATCTAATAGGAATGCCAGTTTACCTCCTGCTCTGTTGCCAGTCTGGCCATTTCAGCAGTCACTATTCAGCACTGGAGGAGGAATTCAGTTCGGGTTCCTTTGTCAGTAAGCCTTCCATGCACCATATTTGTTTCCAGGTCCTGATGGCAATTCTTCCTGTTCTGAAAAGAATGAACAAAAGGATCAACTCTCATTTGAGTTTGTCCCACTCATCTACGTAAAGAATATCCATGAGTTTGAAATGTCTTTGAGAATTAGGAAGGGGAGAGGAGATAGGAAGCAAAGGATGTATTCTTGAAGATCCTGCTCTTAAGCAGTAATTCTCTCTAGCACTCCTTATTACTAGAATTTTCCATCCACCTCTAACAAAAGAAAAGCACAAAGAACATTTAATACAAAGCAAAACATGAAAGGATCTTTGGATGGGTCAGTGTCATGGCTGTGACTTGGAATTTTTCACTAGATTAGAAAAAAAAGAAAAGCCACATACACCCAGGTAGTCTCGGTGTCACGTCTGACATCATTGCTCCAATATTATGAGGCTGAAGCAGTTGTGGCTGATTGATGTCACTCTTCTAGCCATTTGCTGTTTCCACAGAGAGAGGCTGGGTTAATCCAACCCCAGTCTAACTTTGGAGGCATCAAGGATTCTAGGCAGTGTCTCCCGGGTTTCTTTTTCCAAGCAAATTCCTGGACAGAACCAATGGCATTCATGTGTCTTTGCATCCGCAGAGACCAGCTCAGGAACTGGCACGTAACACGCTGACAAATTGTTTTGTTTTTGTATGAAAGCAATTTAAAAGCAGTAAGATCCTCTGTAAATACAGGCCATTACACTTGTGTTTTTCTTCTGAGCATGCAAATATTTTCAGTGAGGCTGCAGCGCAGATTCCATAGCCATGGCGGCACCTAGAGCTCTGTGATGGGAGGCAGAGGAGATGGAATGCTGGTGAGAAGAGGGAGATGTGGCGTGGATGTGAGGGATGAGGGTGAACTACTTTCCTATGGCTGCTGTTACAAATTAGCCACAGGATAAACAGGTTAAAACAGTACAGATTTATTATCTCACGTTCTGGAAGACAGAAGTTCAAACTGCATCTTACTGGGCTGAAACAAAAGTGTTGGCAAGGCTGTGCTCAGCAGGCTCTATATACAGCAGGATCATTTTCTTGCCTTTTCTCATTTCTAGAGGCCACCTGCACCCTTCAGCTCATGGCCTCTTCCTCCATCTTCAAAGCCAGCTTCTTCAAAATTGTCTCTGATCCTGCCACTACATCTCCTGCCTCCCTCTGTCACTTTTAAGGCCCCTGTGATTACAGTGAGCTCACCCTGATAATCGAGGCTAATCTCCCTGTTTTAGCGTTAGCCTATTAGCAATCTAAATTCCACCTGCTCTGTTAATTCCCCCTTTGCCAAACAACGTGACATATTCACAAGTTCTGGGTAGTAGGGGATGGGCATCTTTGCGGGGGGCATTGTTCTGTCTGTCAGAGAGAAGTGCTCAGAGATGCTGGAGTCCAGGGTCCTCATTGTACACCTGAGGAAGCATGGGCTCAGAGGATTTATGTGAATTCCAACAGTTTTCTCCATGACAGGAGGAGAATCCTTTTCTCCTTTTGATCCTGGAAGATCTGTCCAGAAGCCCTAATCAAGACTCAGCAGGAGGCTGGTGGCCTCCTTTCCCTCCCTCCAGTTCTTCCTTCTACATCATGCTTCCTGGCGTTCCCACTGACTGATTTGCTAGGGGGCCAGACTGAGGGGACAGTGACCATCGCGTCAAGTCAGAGAAGGGATTTGATGCATCTAGTAGAAGCTTATTGTTCTGGCAGAAGCACAAGCTCTTAGAGGTGCAGCTGCTGGGTGTGTCTTACTGGGGACACTGAGCTCAGTGACCGTGGGCCCTGAGAGTTTGAAATCCTGGAATTTCTCCCAAAGCAAAGTCCATGTAGGGAAGCTAAAGTGTGAGTCTTACCCAACTGGTTTGCAACAGACAGTGACATTTGCTGCCTGGGCAGCTGCCGTGGGTGCTTGGGTACCCTACTGGACAAGGACTGGCCTCAGCAAAAAACAAAGGTCTCAGCTGCCCAGTGTCCTCTGAGTGGATGCTGGTGACTCAGGTACGGAGCCCAGGTGTAAGGCAGCAGGTGGTCCAGGAGGCACCAGAAGAGGTCTCCTGTGAAGGTCAGGGCCAGAGAGGAAGGCACAGGGAACCTACCTCATGAGACTTTCACTTGCAAGGAGCAACCCATGATGAGGAGGGAGAATGGCTGGGGCGTTGCATCTCATCCATAAGGGCACCTTTCCCAAGGTACTTCATCTAGTGTGGCTGCACAGTCCGTACCCCTTCTCACTGGACAAAGAGCTGGCAGCTGCCAAGAATGCAACTTCTGACCAAAATCCCATTAGGGATCAAGGACCCAAGGACCCAAGACCTTCTTTCTTGGAAAGTGAATTCCTCAGAACTCTGAGATGATGCAGTCTCCGGAGAATTACGAGGGACCCAGGCAGATGGTTGGTGGTGGAAACATCACCTCAGTATAGTACTACAGAGTTTCCTTTCACCCCCAACAGCCGATGGATGGGAAAGGAGCCCTGGCTTCTAGGGGCGAAGAGTGAGAAGTGAAGCAGGTGTCTACCGTCCAGGTGAGAGCTATGTCCTATAGCTGAGGGCCTGGGGGCATTGGGGACCACCAGGGGTGAAGTGACTTCACTTTTCCAGTTAAGTGAAGTCTTTTGCACAATATTCCTGACCAATAGCTAATGTTCTTGGAGTGAGGCAGAGCCCCAGCCTCTGAAGTTGCGGTGGGGAGAGGGGGGAACTTGTAGGAAGATGTATGTGGGCACAAACGTGGGGAGAACACGCTGAAGTAGCCAGGGGCTCAGTGGAAGCTGAGGATGGGTGTTCTGGTGCAGTGTTGGGGGTGGGGGTGGCAGTGTGAGGAGGTGAGTGAGCAGGTTGGGTGGGAAGGAGGAAGAAATCTAGGCTATTGTGTTTCTGAAGAGATCCTGTATCAAGGAAGAATGGATGGATTTGTCAGCCTGAGGACATTTCTTTTGTGGAAATGACCCCTAAGTGGGTCATGCTGAAACCCTGCTGGCCCTGGGGAAGAAAGAAGCCTAATAATTCACTTTGTTTAAACCCATAGCTGCAGACAAGGAGGCAGGGCACCTGCCACCGCAAAGAAGAGTCAGTTTAGAAGCACAGCAGCTGCTGCTTTCAGGGGGTTTCCAGCTCATTCCTCCTGGGACCTGGCAAGAGTTGCACCATCAAGGCTGCAAGAGGTGAGCCCCCTAGGGCACAGCAGAAAGAGCATCATGAAAAAGGGGAGCCCACCAGCTGCTGAGTGGCTGGACAGGGTGTGGGTCTGCGGCCAGATGGGGCTTTAATGCCTCTTCATTCTCTGGGCAGAAGGCTGGGCAGCAGCAGCCATGCACTTTGACGGGACCTGGGCTCTCCTGCTAGGAGTTCCTGGGGGCAGGAAGGCTGTAAGCTGAGGTTTTCTTCTTCTTCTTTTTTTTTTTTTGAGACGGAGTTTCGCTCTTGTTACCCAGGCTGGAGTGCAATGGCGCGATCTTGACTCACCGCAACTTCCGCCTCCTGGGTTGAGGCAATTCTCCTGCCTCAGCCTCCTGATTAGCTGGGATTACAGGCACGCGCCACTGTGCCCAGCTAATTTTTTGTATTTTTAGTAGAGACGGGGTTTCACCATGTTGACCAGGATGGTCTCGATCTCTTGACCTCGTGATCCACCCACCTCGGCCTCCCAAAGAGCTGGGATTACAGAGGTTTTCTTTTAGGAATTCAGTGTTTGTCTGGACAATGTAAAATGACCCGCTATAGCTCTATCTTCTTCTCTTGAGGTTCCTGACGACTTCTGATATGTACAGACGGGAATAAGAGAACCCAGCAGAAATGGAGGCAGAGGCAAAAGGTAAGCCTTTGGGCCTGAAAGAAGGCTGGGGGAGCAGCCTCTAAGACCTTCTTCCTGGTGAATGAGAAGGGAGGTCCTCTGGGGAGCCTATCCTACGAGCTCATGGTTCCTGGGGTGTCTGGGGAAGAAGCAGCCCCTGAGTGCCTGATGAGCTCATCTGTATTGGGCCAGGTTTGTGCTTCTTAGAGAGACCCTGGCAATCTCTCTGTGTCATTGTGAGAGAAGTGAAGACTAGACTGTGAACATGGAAAGCCTTGTATGCTCTGGAGCAAGGAGAGTCCCTAGAAATACACAGTCAGTCCAGCATTGCTGGGAGCTGGACAGGCCCTGGCTGAAAAATCCCAGCAGACAGCATTGCATTATCAAGTTACTTTTCATTTTCTGGAAACCAAGAACTTATGCCTGAATTGAATCCATTTGTCTTAGTCAACTGAGGCTGCTCTAACAAACACCATAGATCAGGTAGCTTAAAATCCACAGAGGTTTCTTTCTCTCAGTTCTAGAGGCTGTGAGTCTGAGCTCAGGGTGTCAGCATGATTGGGTTCTGGTGAGGGCCCTCTTCCAGGTTTCAGACTGCCAGCTTCTTGTTTCCTCACAAGATGGGGAAAGGGTGAGGGAGCTCTCTGGGGTTCCTCATATAAGGGCACTAATCCCATTCATGAGGGCTCCACCTTCATGACCTAATCACCTCCCAAAGGCCCCATATCCTAATACCGTAACATTGGGGACCAAGTTTCAATGTACGAATTTTTAAGTGCTCCTCCCCCCTTGGGCTCCCAAAGTGCTGGACTTCAAGCATGAGCCACCCACAGTGCCTGGCCCATCATTCTTTGAAAGTTACATAATAGACTGAGTTGACTTTTCTTTAGAAGAATTTCAATATGATTTGTTAAGGTCTTTAATGTAGCCTGTTACTACCTTAAACCTATGGATTCACTTAGGAAGTGAAGTCATCATTGTTGGACCTATTCTTTTGATTAAGGTAGGTATGTGTGAAGGGTAGGAGAGGGCAATGGTCAAGGGCATAGACCATGGAGGCCTTCCTCTGGGATGGGGTCTCTATTTTGCCTCTTAAGTGTGACCTTGGGCGAGCTCCTTAGCTCTTCTGTCCCTTAGTTCCCTCATCTGCAAAATGGGGATAGAAATACTGTCTTCCTCCTCAGGTTATTGTGAAGATCGAATGATATGTTCCATATTCTGAACAGTGCTTGGCCTCAAATAGTAGCTAATTGTCTCTTAGTTCAGTTCTTAAAAATGTATTTCGTTCATGTGGATTTTGCAATTATTTTTTGAAGAAAAATTTAGTGCTTTTCCTGTTCTCATAGCATGCCCAGGAAACAAGATGGTTTCTGTTTTGGGACAGATAATTCTGGAAAGATGTTAGAAATACAGTACATTGAAACCAAATCTTCCTGTATCATTAACCTACACCTCGTGTTAAGCCCTGTCTTTTGTGACATTGTGGTCTCTGTAAATGGTAAAGAACTTCAGTACATTCACCAAGTTATTTTTGGTTGTTTCTAGGTTCAGAGGAAAATGTCAATGGAAAGCAGCTAGCATGGAGACCCCACAGTGTTCTTCCCTCTAGCAGTCTGGTATTATCTGGCGCTGAGATGCTGGCTAACATGGTTGGAACATTTGTTGCCTCCAAATCTCATGTGAGAATGTGATCCCCAGTTTTGGGGATTGTGTCTACTGGGAGAACTTTGGGTCATGATGGGGGGCTTGGTGTCCTGTTCACAGGAATGAATGAGTACTCACTCTACTAGTTTGCTGAAAAGCTGGTTGTTTAAAGAGACTGGCATCTCCCCCACTTTCTCTCTTGCTCACCCTCTTACTGTGTGATATACCTGCTTCCCTTTGCTATCCATCAAGAGTAGAAGCTTCTTGAAGCCCTCACCAGAAACAGATGCCAACACTGTGCTTCCTGTACAGCCTGCCATACCATGAGCCAAAATAAACCTCTTTTCCTGATCAATTACCCAGCCTCAGGCATTCATTTGTAGCAATGCAAAATGGACAAACACAGAAAATTGGTACTGAGGAATGGGGCTTTGCTATAAAGGTAGCTGAAGATGTGGAGGCAGCTTTGGAAGTGAGTGAATTGATAGATATTGGAAGAATTTGGAGGGCTTAGAAGAAGACAGGAAAATGAGGGAAAATTTGGAACTGTCAACCAAACGATGATGAGGTTTATACATCATCATCCTTTGATGGAAGGGAGAGCTATATTTATCATAAATAGTTTCAGCCTGCAGGGTGGCCATTCTGAATGGGTGGGAAGTATAGCCTCTGGCCAGAAGCCAGAAACAGGCACTTGGTGTGTCAGAAGAATAAAACAAGGATTTATGCTGAATGAGGTGGCCAAATATATATTCAGCAAGCTACAGGAGGAGCCACGAATAATTATGAAAGAAGAAACATGCACATGTGCAGTTGATAAGGAGCAAAGGAATGACTTAAAGTTGGGACTTATAATTCAAAGGGAAAGAAAGTGTAAAAATTTGAAAAATCTGCAGCCTTGCCCATGGTGGAGAAGGAAAGAACATTTTCAGGAGAGGAACCCAAAGGTTAAGAGTCCAAGAGGCATGAGCAGCAACCACTTGCTAGAGAGATTAGCATGACTGAAAGGGAAGCGGGTGCTAATGGCCAAGAAAATGGGAAAACAGCCTCAAAGGCCCTTCAGAAATCTTCCAGGCCGCTCCTCCCATCGCAAGCCCAGAGGCCTAGGAGGACAGACTGGTTTCGGGGATGAGGCCAGGGGCACTGCTACTCAGTGCTGCCTTGGGGTGCTGCTTCCCATATCCTAGCCATCTCAAGTCCAGTCTCCACTCAAAGGGCCCTAAATAGGAGCTCAGGCCACCACTTCAGAGCGTGCAAACTACTAGCCCTGACAGTTCCTACATGGCATTAAGTCCGCAGAATGCAGAATGCAAGAGTGGTGGTTTGGCAGTTTCCACCTCCATTTCAGAGGGTATATCAGAAAGCCTGGGTGCCCAGGCAGAAGTCTGCTGCAGAGGCAGCGCCCCCCGCCCCATGGTGAGCCTTTTCTAGGGTAGTTCTAAGGCACTATGTGGGGTTGGAGTCCCCACACAGAGCCCCCACCTGGGCATTACCTAGTGGAGCAGTGGGAATATGGTCTCTGCCCTCCGGACTCCAGAATGGTAGACCCACTGGCAGCTTGCACCTGAGCCTGGAAAAGCCACAGTTACTCAACTCCAACCTGTGAGTGCAAGAACAGCAGCTGCACCTTGCAAAGCAGGTACAGAGGCAGGGCTGCCTAAGCCCTTGTGAGCCCAGCCCACACAACTGTGCATCCCGGATGTGGGACATGGAGTCAAGGGAGATTATATTAATGCTTTCAGATTTAATGTCTTCTCTGCCAGGTTTCAGATTTGCGTAGGGCCTGTTGCTTCCAATTTCCCCCTTTTGGAATGGGACTATTCACTCAATGACTGTGTCACCATTGTATTAATATATTGGGAGTAAACAACTTGTTTTTGGTCTTAGGCTCATAGGTGGAAAGAATTTGTCTTGAGTCTCAGATGAGACTTTGGACTTTTGAGTTGATGCTGAAATAAGTTAAGACTTTTGGAGACTATCGGGGAGAGGTGACTGTATTTTCCAATGTGAGAAGGACAGGAATTTGGGAAACCAGGAATGGAAGAATATAGTTTGGATGTCTCTCCCTTCCAAATCTCATGTTGCAATGTGATCTCTCATGTTGGAGGTGGGGCTGGGTGGGAGGTGTTTGGGTCCTGGGTGGTGGACCCTTCATGAATGGCTTGGTGACCTCCTCATGGTAATGAGTGAGTTTTCACTCCATTAGTTCATGTTACAGCTGGTTGTTTAAAGAGCCTGGACCTCCTCCCTTCCATCTTGCTTCCTCTTTCACCATGTGACATACCTGCTCACCCTTGGCCTTCCACGGCGAATGAAAGCTTCCTGAGGCCTCAGCAGAAGCAGATGCTGGCAGTACGCTTCTCACATGGTCTGCAGAATGGTGACCCAAATAAACTTTTCTTTATACACTGCCCAGCCCCAGGTATTCCTTTATGGCAATGCAAAATGGAATTTTAAACACACTGGTGTATTTTAAAATCAAGATTTTCAAGCTGCAATGGACTGTTTCCTGTTTCTTTCTAAATCTTGTTCACATCCTCGCTGGTGGAGGCCCTCCCACTTTCCCGTTGACTCTGGAGAGTCCCTCCCAGCCTGTGGTTTTTGCCTTCCTAGACCGCTGGGTGATTTCAGCCAAGACACTTAATATCTGTTAAAAGGTGAGTAGCAAAAAGCATCATAGCAAGCTCACTGGTTATTTCTTGCAATGAATGGGAGAGTGTATATAAACAGATTTTGGAAAGAAAGTTAGGAAACGTGGCAAATTGACCTCCATAATAAATAAAACGTGACATTATGTATTCTAAAAGTTAAGATTTCAAGGAATAAGGTAATGTCTAGTGCTTTATTCCCCAGGACAAATGCTGTGTTGCATTTACACATCTTTTTTTAAAATTTTAAAATTTTATTTTTTAAGACAGAGTTTGGCTTTTGTTACCCAGGCTGGAGTGCAATGGCGCGATCTCGGCTCATGGCAACCTCCGCCTCCTGGGTTCAGGCAATTCTCCTGCCTTAGTCTCCTGAGTAGCTGGGATTACAGGCACGTGCCACCATGCCCAGCTAATTTTCTTGTATTTGTAGTAGAGATGGGGTTTCACCATGTTGACCAGGATGGTCTTGATCTCTTGACCTCGTGATCCACCCGCCTCGGCCTCCCAAAGTGCTGGGATTACAGGCTTGAGCCACCATGCCCGGCACATTTACACATCTTAAATGTTTTACTGTGGTCTTAGAGGGGTTGTTAAAACTAACAAGGAACCTTTCATTGATATCCAGTGTTTAATCTATTTGTATCTAGGGACTCCTTGTAGCTCACCTTCTGAGGGTGGGGCACATAGTGAAGCAGGTGATCTTCAAGTTCCAACCCCTGGGTCTCAACCTATTACGACTGCCCCCTCCACCATTCCTGCTCCCCCACAACCCTGGGTTGCTAAGGTGCTCTTTGAATGGGGTGGGTGTGTGTATGTCAGGAGGTACAGCTCCTGAGCTTTTACGGTTGGAGGGTGGAATGACCTCAGTTCAAACATTCACCAAAAGCCCAGTCTGGCATAGGATCTCTTTCTCTATGGTAATGGCATGAGGGACACCCCAGCAGTTGTTGACCCAATTAATTCACTCCACTGCAGGACATGTGGGTTGTGCTTCTCCAGTGTCCTAGAGAGAGTGTGGGCCTGCAGCTGGGAAGACACAGCAGCTGTAGCAACTCTTACCCCCAGCCCCTGGGGTTGCCTGGGACAGAAGCCAAAGGAAGGAGATGAAAATGCACAGGAGGTGTGCTTTGCACATTATTTTTCCCCTTGAGAGATGGGGAAGATTGTGAGGGAGAGCAAGAAAGTCTATGGAAATGGAAAGCCTTATTTATTTATTTTAAAGGAGACTAGAGTAGGATCAGAGAAGACAGACCCACCTAAATGATAATTATCAAAACACCGTGACCTTGGGGAGAACATTGGCTGTTGTATTTGAGTGCTCATTCACCTGGCACTGGCTAGGTACTCTAATTGGGTATAGATTTCTCAACCCCAATCCCCAATGTGCTTGAAATCCTTTCTGTAACTTCATTTCTATCCAGGACTCTCATTTCATCCCACAATAGAAACTTAATTCAAGATAATTCAGCCAATCTGTTTTTTTTTTTTTTTTTTTGCTTGGAACTTGGCACCTTTTTTTTCTTTCATACTTCATATCTTTCCTTTCCCAGGATTTGCACCTGAAATCTGGGGGCCTGAACAGATCCCGTCAAGATGCTGGGGGCAGGGGCAGTGATAGGGTGAGTGGTGGCACACAGGTCCTGGATGCTGGTTCCCTTGGATGCTGGGCAGAGGCCTTCTCCCAGGCACTTCTGCCTGTGCCATCTCAGCTTCACTCTCTGGAACCTCCATGAGGCTGCAGGCCCTCTAGGCTCACTTCAGGCCCTAGAAATTTCTGCTTTTCTGTTGCCTTCCCCTGCAGGCCTATGAGCAAAAGCCCAACCCTCGCCACTTTCCTGGGCCCCTCTGAGTAGCTCCAGCCTCAGGGCTGCACTGCCAGCTCTAGCCGTCTTGCTTGCTTCCCTCCCAGCTTGGGAGACTGCCCTGCCTTGCCCGTGGCCCAGCACTGGCAACATCTCCCTCTCCAGGGTGTCTGAGCAGCAGGGCAGGAGCAGGGAACTTTCAACAAATCTTCTTCCAAACCCGTTTCTATGCCAAGCTTGGCCTTCCAATCCTCTCCAAAGACACTGCTTTCCTTCTCGGCATTTCATCTCTCACTGCTCACCCAGGGCAGCAAGCAGACACTGCCGGGCGAAGTGTACTAACAGACTCACAGATGTTACTGCGCTTGACCAGTCTTTAAAAATAAAAAAAAGACCTGCATATGTGTATTTCAAAGTCTTGTTTGTTGCTTACGCAGTCTCACTACTTAAACTGTTTTGAAATGTGTGCTAAATCCCACTCTGTGGATTTCTGAAAGATTTCTCTTTGGCAGGCCATCTCAGAAAGTGTGATATTTTATTATTTTAGCCTCAGAATTTGGCTCCTGTAATAGTATGTCGTACTGAAAAAATATAGGCATAACATTTCTATAACAGGACTGTGAAGAAAATCAGACCATCAGGAGTGGACACTCAGCACTGGGTTTCTTTAATTTATGATATTCAAGTTTATTTTCGTTTTGTAAGGTTTATCTTCATCTGCGGTTATTTGCATATGTGTCATAAGAAAGGCCAAAAGGATTGAATGAACCCGGGCCCCTTAATGGTAGCTAAGATAGGCTTCAGCAAGTCCACAAGCCAGGCTGCAGGCTGTTGTGTCTCTGAGGCCTTGGAGGAGATTATGGCTGATGTCTGAGGGGTCTGAGATGGCAGGAAGGGCTGGAAGCAGG